GGATGAATTCCTTCGTCTTCTTTAATACAACAAGAGACAACGTAATGATCTTAATGCATGAGATATCCGAACTAGACTAAACTAAACTAGGCTACTAAGCCTAGAGGCTAAAGGCTAAAGCTAAGAGCTTCGAAATTAAAAAAAGAGTAATTATATTGTTGTTTGATTTGGGTTTGATGTCTTTTCTTCATGATCTTTAACTGCTATTTATAGAGATTTCTCCCTATCCCTTTCGAGCATTGTCAACGGGGCTTCCTATGATAGGAGCTTTCGATTGAGGTCCAATTAACCTTAACGTGTAAAAAAATAAATTTATAGAGATTTTAATTTGGAAGGTTATGATCTTCATATTTTCCTAGTTCTATAGAGATTGTAGAAGATTGATGATATCATAAAAATCAAAGGAAAATCGTAACAAGTATGCGAAGTAAAGACTAAGTTTAAAATGTCTTAATAAATAAGAAAATAGGTTATATGTCTATATTGAGGTTTAATCCTCTCATTAGCAAATTTAAATTCATTGATGTTTAATTGAATAATAATAGAGTTACATCAATGTAGTAAGTTTTGCATGCAATTCATGTTTTTTTTTCTACTCATTTTAGAGGCTGATTATATTTTAGTGTCATGATTATACGTCTTTGATTGTATTTTATATTAGAAACATGAAAATACTCATAGAAAGAATTAAAATAAATAAATAAATAAAATAGTAGATATTTTGTGGTAGTTTGTCATATAATGAAGTAAAATGCCCAGATTTTATGTAAGAAGAGAGAGATATAACATTAAAATCTTTTATGTCGTAGTTTGTCATATAATGAAGTAAAATGCCTAGATTTGAAAAGTGCTAAGACTTTAAAAAATGGAGGGAGTATATATCATATCCTTTGGGAAATCTTGGTCATTTTAATATTTTGTATGTAGACATTACAAAATTGACTCGTACTCGATTATCTGATTTGAAACTCGAACACTCATAGCCCTAAGTCTTAAGACCCTATATGATATTATCATTTGTTGTTTATTTATCTTAAGACAACAATGATATAATATTTGTATGCATTTATAAATTATGGTTTTAACAAAGTCTGAAATGGAGTCAAAAAATTCTAGACTCCACCTAAGGACCTAACTTGACATTCATACACGGTGTTTTGACCTGTACACACATCAAAACACAACATTTTGTTTAAAAAAATTATTAACCTTTTTATTTTTATAAACCATTAAATCTATATAATTTGAATTAAAAAATAGAAAAGTGTATGTTACGTAGTAGTAGTAGTATATATATATATATATATATATATATATATATATATATATATATATATATATATATAAATTTGTAATGATTAACATGTGTAAGTTAAAAATCCTAAGCATAATAGAATAATGATACATGTATAACTCTCACCTATACGAGCAATAATTATTAAATTACTTATTATAACATAATATGAAGAAAGTGAAAAAAATATGACACATATTTTTAGAAAATCTATATCGAATTTGAGGAATGGAGGACTAAATCTGGATGAAATTTAAAGAGTACTAACATAATTATAAAAATATAATAAAATACAGGTATTAAATTAATATAAAATTTAATGTGTCATAATCATAAGATAAAAGTCTTAAGATAAAATAGGGATAGTCTTGCTCAAATAATTTGGTTACCCTGTCCTACATTTACCACAGTCCACAATTGTGGTGGATAATAATTTCGAGAGCACGTGGGCATCATTAAATTACCCAAGGTTTTTTATTTTTTAATATTCTTATCCATTTGTTTTTTACAATGGGAACAAGTGATAATCGATTCTCATACTAGGACCTCATATACAAGCTAACATTATCTATCAAGTAAATATTTTACCTCAGTTACTTTTTTTGTTTGTTATGCAACTCGTATTTTTGTTGTATAATAAATAAGCCAGCTCTAGCACTTTGTTGGAACAAGAAGGTAGTAAAGGAATGGGAGGCAATGAGGAGCAAAAAGAAAGTACCAAAACGAAAGAAAAGGAGGAGAGCATATATAATATAATTGATAGGTTTTATGATTTACTAGTTTTGTGCCCGGATGATGCCTAGATGGCTGATAAAATATTAGGATAAACTTTTTAGATTAAATGTTAAATACGATTATATAATCCCTTTTATAATGTAGGATATTTAGATATATAGAACTGAAATTATATTTTATTAATTAAAATTATTTTGACTGCACTAAAAGTATTTTTACCAAAATTAAAATTATTTTTCCTGATTAAAACTTATTTTCAAATCCTCTATTATTTCTGTAAATAAATGAAATATATTGTATACTAGTTTTGTGCCCGGACGATACCCAGGTTGATAAACTAGAATGTCAAGTGTTGCTATCTCGTGGTCTGGTTGTGAGACCGGCTTTATTTATTATTGATATGATATGATATGATATGATATAATATATTAAATAAAATATAGTTATGTAAAATTTTATATAATTTATCTCGAATAATACTTTCGCATTATTAGCTTTTTAATTTTACTAAAATATAACTAAAGATATTTAATTTATTAAAATAAAAATTGACAAAAGTAAATTTTCCAAGGTGAGATAAAGAAAAAAGGAGAAAGAAGTACGATATTGTTTAATTCACTTATTCTGATTGTACCTTTTGATTATTATTTAAAGTGATGATGAATTGCTCGTGTAAATCACAGGAGTAGTACAGTTGTGGACCACCGACGTTTCGAATTATTGATATAACCTTGTCCTACGTTTACTTCAATTGTGGTGGAGGAATTTTCAATAACATACACGTTTTTTCATTCCTATGTTTTTTTTTTTCTTTTCGTTTTTTTTTTTTAAAAAAAAAATTAGAAATAATAATCCCGAGTTTCATGAATTTTGCTAGGATAATCCCAACTTTGGATTATTCTGGAATAATCCGGACTTGGGGTTCTTCTTTTTCTTCAATCCCTAATCGGCCAACAAAAGTCAATGACCTATTATATCAGGTCACTTGACACGTGTCAAGTCCTGATTGGTCCAATTTTTTTTTAAAAAAAAAAGCAAAAAAAAAACCACCAGCCAAAACCCCAACCACCCTAAGAGTTCCGGCAGTCGCCCAGCCCAACCACCTCCCTCGTCGGACCACCGCCGGACCTCCCCCTCTACTAGAGTCGCTGCTCCGGCCGCTACCATCTAATCCACCATCCCCCCCTCCCCGAAACCCCCACGCAACCACCAATAAAAACCGTTCCAATTCCGGCCACCAGCCAAACCCCAAAAATCACTGCCCTGCGCCGCTAATTCCCCTCCCTACCCGCCGGTTTGGGGACCCCCAACCTCCTTCCTTATCTCCTTTTCCCGTTTTTTCGATGACCACTCGTTCCCTTGAAATCTCTTCCCCACTCGAAAACCCCTTACAACCACCTCCCCCGAAAAACACGAGACCTAGCTTCTTCCTCAATTTTCAAAGGAAAGCTCTTATTCTTCGGATTAAACCTAATTACAATTTATTTGATTAATCAATTCACGATTTGAAGACATTTATGAAATGTATGCTTGAAAATCGTTGCGAAATTGGGGTTGCGGTTTTGGTTGATGTGTATTTTTTGATTGAAATAGAGTTTGTTTGGTAGTTTCGAGGTCAATGGCTGCGGTTGGTGTGGTTGTGGTGTTTTGCGAGGCAATAGGGGTAGCCAACAAAGGGTGGGGCTAGGGTTAGGGGTTTCGGGATGAGGGATATCAGAAAGAGGGTGGAGATGGTGTTTTCCTAGGTGGGGGAGGCCGGGGTCAGGTTTCGCGGTCTGAGCGTGGGTTTTCCGGTGCTAGAGAGAGAGAGCAATGGGTGGGGTTGGGGGTTCCGGTGAGCTGGGGTGGAGGGTTGGGTGATTTGCTGGTTTTTTTTTTTGGGTGTTTTCTTTTTTTTAAAATTTTGGTTTTTTTAAATATTTTTTAACCAATTAATTTGTGACACGTGTCACTTTAACCAATTAATTTGTGACACGGTAACCGGTATTTGAGATTGAAGAAAAAGAAAAACCCTCAAAGTTGGGATTATTCTAGCAAAATTCATGAAAGTTGAGATTATTATTTCTAATTTTTCCTATTTTTTTCTTCTTCTTTTTCTGTTTTTAATTTATTGGTGATTCTCATTTTAAGGAGAAAATACCAGTTTATCACCTTAATATTCAAATTTATTAGTGATTCTCATTTTAAGGAGAAAATACCAGTTTATCACCTTAATAAACAAATTTGATTTATCAATTCAAAAAATTATAAATAATTCGATAAATTTTTTAAAATATAGATTCCATAGATGTTGATATAATTACGAAAAGGTTAGGTTGACTAGATATTTTGTTGATTTATTTATAATTTTATCAAGGTGAATGGTGATAAACAGGGACTTCCTCCGCTTTAATTAGAACACTAGTACATAATTGACTTTATGTAACACGTGTTGGTAACACTTTTAAAAATGCAAAATTTTTAGATTTATATGTAACACTTTGGTAACACTTTTATAATAGGTAACACGTCATGGTAACACTTTTAAAATAGGTAACATGTCATGGTAACACTTTTACAATAGGTAACATATCATGGTAACACTTTTAAAATAAGTAACATTTTATGGTAACACTATGAGGTGTTACCTATTTATTTGATAAAATTTTAAAAGTAGGTAACATTTTATGGTAACACTAAGGAGTGTTACCTATTTATTTGATAATACTTTTAAAATAGGAAACATTTTATGGTAACATAGAGAGGTGTTACCAATTTATTTAAAAATAAAAAAATCTAACCCAATTTCTCAGAACAAAACAACGAAGGGCAAAAACTAAATTTCTCAGAAGCATGCACCGATATTAGGTATTTTCATCAAATTTCGATATGGAATTTCATCAAATTGCGATATTGGGATTCTCAGAATAAGCTTGGCCAAAATTGCGATACGGAGTTTCATCAAATTCGAGATCCTATATTAGGTATTTTCTGATTTTTAATGAATTATTTTTAATTTTTTTGGTTTATAAATCATTAAATTTGAAGAATCTATGGTTAATTACAATTAAGATTATGACATATACTTTTTTGATTGAATTCGAAACTTTTATTGCCTGTGTTTGATGTATTGTTAAATTTTTTTCTTTTTTTTGAGTTCTTGATGTATTCGAATCTGTGCTGCCTTCAATTATTGAAATTATTCTGATTTTCATGTGTTATTTGTGTATTGTATTTTGATTCTGCAATTGGCATGACTCATATTTTTTTTTTTTTTTTGAGGCTGTAATTTGGATGACTCGTATTATTGAAATTATTCTGATTTTCATGACTCGTATTATTGTATTTTAATCCGTGCTGCATGACTCGTAATATGATGCTTCATTCTATTAGCTGTATAATGTGTTCTGGTGATGGTACTAGTCTGCTGCTCTGTGTCAGCTCCCTGCTGATGTTTTGCCTTCTGCCTGCTGCTGTTCAGACAGCTAGCACCTGCTGGCTGCCTGTGTTCTGCAGATGGGTCTTCTGCTGTTTGGATGCCATGTTGCTATTGTGTCTTTGTTGTTTGTGAGCTATTACAGTTTTGTTTGGAGTGTTGTTGCAGCCTATGTTGTTGCTTTGTGTTTTTTGTGCTTATAGGGGACTTATCTACATAACCACCATATTTAGGTGCACCTAAATAAACTAAGTAAAGGTTCTTCTTTTGATAATGTATTGAACAAATTTGATCTGAAAAACTAAGTAAAAGTTCTGCAGTAGCCTAGTTAAGTCAAAGTTTTGCAGTAGTCGAGTTGAATGAAATACATGTTTTTTTTTTTTTTTTTTGAAAAAGGAAAGTTAAATTATATGTCAATGTTTTAAATCTCTCAATTCGTGCATTTTTAACTTCTCATAAAGGTGATAAAATGAGTAGTTGGACCAACTTCTTACAATCTAGTTATGAGTACGAGAAAGGTGTGGAGGAATATTTAGATAAAGCATTTTCTACACAAGCAATTGGAGATCAAATTACTTGCCCGTGTAAGGTGTGCTATCACCGGTTCTGGCATCGCCGAGAGACGGTGTTCAATCATTTGATTACAAACGGGATCGAGCCTGGCACCGAAGGATTGCGTTGTTATGAAAAGGGTGTGTCATCAGTCTCAAATGCAGAGGAGTATGATGAAGACATGGATGATGATATTGAACGTCTGATATATGATGTTCATAGAAATGTGGCAGAAACTTATGAAGGGGTTGGAGATGAGCCCAATGATGATGCTAAGAAGTTCTATAAGTTAGTTGAGGATGGAAAACAAGAGTTATACCCTGGGTGCAAAAAATTTTCAAAGCTATCATTTCTCATCCGTTTATACCTTCTAAAGTGTACTCATGGGTTAACTAATAAAGCATTTTCAGATCATTTGGAGTTAATCCGAGAAGTGTTACCAGAAAAATCTAAATTGCCTAACTCTTTTAATGAGGCAAAGAAATTGATAAAAGATTTGGGGCTTCATTATGACAAGATTGATGCATGTCGTAATGATTGTATGCTATATTGGAAGGAGCATGAAGCTGCCACGTTCTGCCATGTTTGTCATACTCCAAGGTGGAAAGAAACAGAGATTGAAAACCAAGAAGATATTAGCAATCAATCACCTAAGAAAGTACCTGCAAAAGTTCTTTGGCATTTTCCTCTGAAACCAAGGCTTCAAAGGTTGTACATGTGTTTAGAAACGGCAGAGCTAATGAGGTAGCATGATGAAGAAAGAGAAAGAGATGAGTTATTGAGGCATCCTGCTGATGGTGAGGCGTGGAAAGAGTTTGACCAAAAGTACCCAGATTTTGCGAAAGAAGCACGTAATGTTCATTTAGGGCTTGCAAGTGATGGATTTAATCCATTTCGAACGATGAGGACACAACATAGTACATGGCCTGTTGTTTTAATTAATTACAACTTACCACCATGGCTATGTATGAAGCCAGAATTCTTGATGTTGTCTCTCCTTATTCCCGGGCCCACTTCTCCTGGGAATGACATTGATGTCTACCTTCAACCATTGATTCAGGAACTTAAAGATCTATGGGAGTATGGTTTGGACACTTATGACGCGGAGAAGAGTCAAACATTTAAGATGCATGCAGCTTTGCAATCAACAACCAGTGACTTTCCTGGTTATGCTATGTTATCTGGTTGGAGCACCAAAGGGAAGTTTGCATGCCCTTATTGTCACTACGAGACTGATCATCATCATTTGAGTAATAGTAACAAATCTTGCTATTGGGCTCATCGTCGATGGTTAGATGAAAACCATCCTTGGCGGCATGATACGGAGTCCTTTAATGGGGAAAAGGAAGAGAGGACATCTCCAAAACCTTTAACAGGGGCTGAAATTTCAAGCTTGTTGGAAAAATGGGAAAACAACTTTGGAAAGTTACAACCAAAGAAGAAATATGAAGATTGTCCATGGAGAAAGTCCTCTATCTTCCACACTTTGCCATATTGGAAAGATTGTGGGTGTCGTCATCATTTAGATGTTATGCACATAGAAAAAAACGTATGTGATAATGTGTTGGGAACTTTGTTAGACATACCTGGAAAGTCAAAAGACCATCATAAAGCTCGATTAGATCTCCAAGAAATGGGTATAAGGGACAAAACTACATCCTGTAGATGCAGGTGAACGGTATGTTTTGCTGCCCAAAGCATCATTCTCAATGACAAAGGAAGAAAAAGGCATATTTTGTAGTGTCTTGAAGAAGGCAAAGCTTCCACAAGGTTGTGCATCAAATTTAGCAAGGTGTGTGCAAGTGAGGGAAGGGAAAATATCAGGGTACAAAAGTCATGATGCTCACATAATGATGCAACACTTGCTTCCGTCAGCAATTAGGACAACTTTACCAAAGCATGTTGCATTACTTCTTATTAAATTGAGTGCCTTTTTCCGAGAAATATGCAAGAGAGTCATTAATCTGAAAGATTTGGATCGCCTTCAAGCTAAAATTGTGGAGACTCTTTGTGAACTTGAGAAAATATTTCCACCGTCTTTTTTTGACATCATGGTCCACCTGCCGATTCATTTAGTTGATGAAATAAAGCGTGGTGGACCAGTGTGTGATTGGTGGATGTACCCTATAGAAAGATACCTTGGAAAGTTAAAATTGTATGTGAAAAACCGATGTCGCCCCGAGGCTTCTATTGCGGAAGGGTACCTGGAAGAAGAGTGCTTGATATTCTGCTCTAGATATTTGAATGCTAGTGTGAAGAAGAAATCTAAGTGGTATAACAAAAGTCAGGAGAAAACTGATGTGATTGATGAAGAGTCACCTTTATTTCCTAAGGTAGGTTATCCTCTCGGGAGGAAGAAGAAAGGGAAGAAGAAAGAGAAGTCATATACTCTTGATTCCAACACATTGGCTGTAGCACATCGTTATGTGTTGTTTAATTGTCAAGATGGCCAAGTTGAGAGTTACATCAAGTGAGTAATACTTTTAAATATCTTGTCCATCATGTTTACATTAATGTTGTTTTATTTCCTTACTTATATTGTTAATACTATGCAGGGAACATGAAGAGTTTGTAAAAGAGTGTAAAAAAAAAGTCCAGAGATCGGCGAAAAAGAAGGTGGAAAGAGGCAAAAGAGCATAGTATTGAATTCATGGTTTGGTTCAGAGAAAAGGTTGTTCTGGATAATGTCTCCGATCATATCAAGTGGCTAGCTATAGGTCCTTCTAGTATTGCAAGGAAGTATACTGGGTATTTTTGTAATGGATATAAGTTTTACACACGAGCTCATGATGAAAAGTGTAAAACTCAAAATAGTGGAGTCTCTTTGACAGCTTTGACTCCAAGCTTCGCGAGCACCAAGGATCATAATCCTGTTATGGGTTATGTCACATATTATGGGATTATAAAATCGATAATTGAGATAGATTATTGGAGTTCATTTAGTGTCGTGTTGTTCAAGTGTGATTGGTTCCATGTGGAAGTAGATGATTATGGACTCACTCGTGTGAACTTCAAGAAATTGTGTTCTAAAGATGACCCTTTTGTCTTGGCATCACAAGTGCATCAAGTGTTCTATGTTCAAGACGGCCTTGAAGAAGATTGGCATTATGTGAATCGAAATTTACCGAGGGGCTTTTTTTATGCAGAGGGGCAATATGAAGAAACGTATGTGACTGAAGTTCATGGACCCGAGGAGGATGTGATACCAGCTATAGATCATGATGAGCACCATAATTTGCATAGAGAAGGAGCTTATGAAAGAGTTGAGGTTCCTGTGAACACTGAAATGAATGATGTTGGTCACGAAGATAGTTCTGATATAGATGACACGGATTGGGATTGGATGGAACCATCAAAGTGAAATGTATAGGATCTTTTGATTAGAATAATTATCCTTGATTTGAACTTGTTTTATTGGATGTAATGAATAGATTTACTGTTTATGGTCAAGAACATGGTCGAGGCATGATATGATAGTGGTAATTTTTACATTTGTGCAGTGTTGAGTTGTGTGGTATCCAGGAGCTTGGGCAGAAGGCAAGTTGCGGCGGATGTAAAATATTCCAATTTATATTTTGGTTCCTTTTGTGTTTATATCTGGATTGGAGCTGTTTGTTGTCACTGCTACTACTATCACTGTTGCTGCTGTTTGTATTTTTCCTGATTCTGAACACTCATTTCTGATCACTCTGATTCTGATCACTCATCTATGCTGAAATCTCTGATTCTGATCCTTTATATGCTCTTTATATGCTATTTTTAAGGATTCTGTTATGTTAGCTATTCTGTCAGTCCTTGCCTTTATATCTGATTCTGATCACTCATTTGTAACATGTTAAAAAAAAGCGAGAGTCCTAAAAGTTTCTGATCACTCATTCTGATTCTGATCACTCATTTCTCTGACATGTATCCCAATCCTTGTCACTACTACCTTATTTATTACCCAATTTACAGTCCCAAGAGTTCCTTAAACTTAAAAAAACATACTACTGGTTATCATGCCAACCAACTTAAACAAACCAACAGCTTATTGTCATTGTTGGTTATTTAACTTAATTAAGCAGGCTAAGTAAGAGCAGCTTTGCTTTCTACTCCTTCATATGATCTGCTGGCTTTAAGTAACACTAGGAGACAGCATGTTGGCCATTTGAGGCCAACATTTTAAACATAAATAGTCTTGTGTGTTCTTTGTAGGAAGCAAGATCCATATGGCAGATTATTTGAAAATAAGAGAAAAAAGGATACAAGAAAATAAGTTAAAAATGAATGAGTTGGGGGTTACATCCATGGCTTATAAAATGACACAGATGATGAAGGGATCAAAACAAACGAAAAAAGGTGAGAAGGTGACAAAAGATAATGATGAATATACACCTGATGATGAAGAGGGTGAGTTGAACCACTCAAGTGAAGAGGATGAAAATCAGATAAGGAAAAACATTGTAAACTTGAGGTCTCGTTCAAAGAAGGTGGTTTTTTTTTTCTTTGACAGCTTACTTATGTTTTGACTAACTATTGTTGAAAAGATCATGTAATACTTTCAATGCTTTTAATGAGTATAATTTGAGGTTGAAGCATTAAAAGAGAAGATTCCCACAAACACGGAAAGACAACACTTAGATCAAGGGTTGGAAGGGAGAGATTCAACACAAAGAAAAAACCAATTGGGCAAGTCTACTGCACAGAAGAGTCAACAAGAGAAAGAGGTTGAGATTGGGAATGGGGTTAAAACTAAGGTACGGCAAAGTAAGGCAATGGTTGCTCCTGGTTCACTTGGTGCTTACAGGCAAATGAAAACGCAATTGAAGGAAAAAGAGAAGAGATCAAAACAAAGTGATTTTGCAACAACGACAACTACAACCTGTTAACATGACTAGGTCACAGCCTGTTAACATGGCGAGTTCACAAGGTCTTTTAGGGAGTTTGCAAGCACAAAGTTTTTCTCAACCACAAAGACTTGGATCTCACTTGCAGGAAGATAATGAGAATCATATTAGTTCAAATTACTACAATTTGGAATTGTATGTAGATGAAGAAGATGACCTTAGTGATGGATTAAGTACTCTTACTCCCGAGATGCTAGGAATGCAAGTTGAGCCACCACTGAATCAAGAGCACTAAAGTGAACAAATAGGTAATAATGATCAGTGTAATTTCATTACCTATTTAATTTAAGACAGATATGTTAAGAGTCATATATAATTTTAATGACCTTGTTGAGTTAATGTTTATTTAGCACTTTCAAAAAGGAAGTGGACTAGAGGACCAACTATGTGTAAAGACGTCCATGAATGGACATTAGAAGAGCGCAAGCCGATCGTGCTTAATGAAATGGGAAAGCCTATTGGTCCCGATGATAAGACTGTAGATAAATATACAAGATTCTTGGGGACTTTAGCTCAAAATGCTTCTCTGGCACCGTTGAACAGGATTAATTGGCATCAAGTTCCAGATAAGGACAATATTTGGGAATATGTGAAGGTAAGCGCCTTGATTATTGTATTCAAAAGCATGTGTTTTATGTCTTTTATCAAAATTATGAGTTACATAGATATTTAAAGTGTAGAAACTTTGCATCTGCTCATCAGCAAGTATATTCAGTAGTGGTAGTGACAACTAATTAGCAAATATATTATGAAATAAAGCACAATGTACCACAACTAATTAGCAAATATTCAATATTTTTCTTATTACAGAAGAAATTCATTATCCCTGAAGAAGGTAAAGACTCTGTTTTGTCATCCGTGGGAAGGCTTTGGCGTAAATATAAGTGCAGTGTAAAGGCAAAGCACTTTACTCCGTACGACAATGATGGTGATAGGTTGGCAGATTTACCTGAAACAATTCCAGCAGAGCATTTCAAAGAATTACTAGAATTTTGGAATTTGAAAGAAGTCTAGGTAATTAACAATTATGTTATTTTCCTTTATATTATAACTGATTTTACGCTCTCAGAATGAAAAGTGTTAAGCTATGAACAATATGCTACGCATGCGTGCAGGAAGACAGCAAGAAAAAAAAGGAGATAAGTAAAGGTCAGATAGATAGGCACACTATGGGGCCTATGACTCTAGCGAGGAAACAATATAAATTGGTATATCTTTATACGTTCATTGCTTCTTTATTGTTCCCACTGTGATAATGTAAATAATTTTATATCAATTCTTATTTGCATGTGTTTTTTATTCTAGCTACAACAAGATGTTGAGAAGAAACCACCATCCTTAGCACTCGTGTACAAAGAAAGTCGTAAAAGGAAACCAGGGAAAATGTACAAAACATCTTCTGAGCCCGCCCAAAGTAACATTGTAAGTCCCGTTGTCTCCGTATTTTTTAATTATCTGATTATTTGTCTAAAATTAGTTAGTTATATGTTATATTTTATTCCATCATAGGACAAGATGGAGGAGGTCCAAATGCAAAGTGAAGTCGATGGAGATGTTGCATACTATGAAGTGATGAATAAACCAAATAACATTGGCCATAAAAGAAAGAAATCGGGGATAGGTTCACTAAAGGGAAAGAGCAACAAACCAATAATTGCTGATGAGTTCTTAAAGCCCTATAAAGACCAGATTGTGAAAGAAACTGTTGCCGAATTACTGAAGACGCTCAAGCAACATCCTGAAGCTTTAGATACTTTGACTCGATCACTTGGAAATGAGTCATCCAATCCAGAACTTAGTGATCATATTCCCAATGTAAACTCTAATGATGAGCAAGAGCAAAATGAGGTAATGGTTGATATATTACCTTTTAGAAAGCACTAACTGTTATTATTTTATAATTTCATTGTTGTTCTACTTTTGTGATACATGATGCCTTCACACACATATAGGACCAAGATGAAGAATTGGAGTAACATGTAAGCTCATCATTTTTTTTTTGAAATTCTATTTATTTATTTTCTCACAATTTATACTTGTTCTTTTTGGAGTGTATGAGCACTTTATTAACATATATATTTGGATACATTTGCACAGACTTTGACAGAGGTTCGGGCTCTGAGTTCCACTGATTTGAAAATAGTTAGAAGCTTCCCTGTGTTATTTTCATTTTTCTGATTTATAATTAGTACACTTTATTAACATATATATGGTATCGAGCGTAAGTATAATGCTGTTTGACGTGTTTGTGCCGTTTTCTGTTGATAGTATCTGCTGCTTGCTGCCCCTGCTGCTGTCCTGTGCTGATATGCTGCCGTCTGTGCTGATCTGCTGCTGTCTGTGGTGATCTACTGCTGTCTGCTGTCTTTTTTTTTTTTTTTGGGAATCCGGAGTTCTAAAGACCAAAGTTCATTTTCTTATGGTTTTGATTTTACTAGATTGTCAGCTCAAACAAAAATATTGGTGTTTATGGATTTTTTTGTCAGAATTATATATGAAATAATTTCAATTCAAATTATATATTGTCTATCGCATATGTTAGTTTCTCATTCGTGGTGGTTGTACAAATTTATATTATGTTTATATTTATAAATAATAATTAATAAATAATAAATAATATGCAATTTCCCCTCAAAAAAATAAATAAATAATAAATAAATATATACATAAATAATAATAAGTGATACCTCTTAATTAATATAGTGTTACATTAGTTTGCGAAATGTGATACATAAGAATGAATAAAATGTTACTATATGATTACAAAATGTTACCTAACAATTAACAAAGTGTTACATTAAAATGCAAAAGTGATACACAAGGTGAGAGTAAGTGTTACCATATGATTGAAAAGTGTTATTAAAGATAATAAAGTGTTACATAAGAAAAAAAATGTGACACTTTGAAAATGATACCAATAATATAAAATGTGTTACATAAGAGGGTTTATGGTAACACTTTTAATAGTGTTACTATAAGTTACAAAAAGTGGTACATAAGACTTTAGGGAGCATTGGCGGAAGTATCACCCAATAAAGTGTTACCTATTGTCTATAATAACACTTTTAGCACTTTATATAACACTTTTTGGGTGTTACATAAACTCAATTTTGTACTAGTGAAATAATACTTTTATTTCTCATATATTCATTTATTACAATTTTAAATGATCCACTTTGATAACATTTCTTTAATGTATTATATTATTAAAGACTATAATATCTGTTTCGGGGTTTTTTGATGTCCTGCGGGAGAGTTACAAAATTCCAAGACTGACCGGGAAGCCTGTACCTGCAAAACTGACAAGGGTTAAATCGGTCGCTACAATCTAACTCTCAATCAAACAATACTTATACGAACACCCTATAACCAAGTACAATGGCAAATAAAGGTTCGGTCCACGAGGAACGAGAGTAATTGCAAATCAATCTTAAACCTAAGCTAGTTCGAAATCAATGGAAAATGGTGTTCTAAAATACTACTAATAAGATGGAATAAATCAATAAACTAAGACACTAGGGAGAACGGGAATCCGCCTAACCATTGGTAACTAAGCAACAAGGAATCACAGAGACAAACGGGATATGCAAAGACTATAAGTCTGATCAATATCATGTGATAGGAAGACAACGGGCAATACTAAGCTTGGATTTCTCATGCACTTAACATTACTCGATACATAATCAAACCACATTCAATAATGAAATACTCAATTCACAATCTCTTGTTCAAATCAAGGATATCATGCAATCAAATTCAAGATTCTAGGTTAGCTACTCCTATTATAATGAATTAACATGTAATCGCATATAATCAATTTAATCACAATCCGTTTATCAAAATCAATCCTCAATTACATAGATTACCTAGGCTGGGTTTCATCCCGAAACCCTAGCTAGGAGACTACTCACACATATTCATAATCAAAGCAATAATGAATTCCAAAAGCATAATAGATATAAACATGAATTCTGATTAAGGAATAATAAAGCTTGATTAATAAACAAGAATGAATAATACCAATTGTATTGATGCGAATCAATGGAAAAGTTCAGAACCTTGATATCCGTCGTCAATGAATAATACAAATAATCTTCACAAATCTTGCTTCAAATCAATCCAAGAAAACTAAAATCTCTAGGAAATTCTCTAAGAAAACTAATGAATCTCTAATACTAAGAACGTTCTCCAATAACTCTCTACAAAGGCTCTCAAAACTATCTCTAAAACTGTCTCTGGAATCCTCTTAAAGTTGGGCCTTATATACGTCTTCTAATTCGGAGAAGTCAAGCGCGCAGTTAACCCTGGATCAGCACGGCCGTGCTGTATTTGGCACGGCCGTGCTAGCTTGTCAGTAAGTAAACCGGGTTTCTTCTTCAAATTGGCACGGCCGTGCAGCTTCCTGGCACGGCCGTGCTGAATTTGGCACGGCCGTGCTAATGCCTGGCACGACCGTGCTGAATCTGGCACGGCCGTGCTAATGCCTGGCACGGCCGTGCTAATGCCTGGCACGACCGTGCTGAATCTGGCACGGCCGTGCTGAATCTGGCACTGGCACGGGCATGGAAATTGGCTTGGCACGGCCGTGCTAATGCCTGGCACGACCGTGCTGAATCTGGCACGGCCGTGCTAATGCCTGGCACGGCCGTGCTGAATCTGGCACGGCCGTGCAGCATAGGCAGGAAGGTTGCAGGCACTTTGGTCTTCTTAAAACAGTCACAACTTCTTATCCAGAGCTCCGTTTGAGACGTGCAATATATCGTTGGAAAGCTCTTCAAGTCTACTTTCCAATGCAATTGGAATCACTCCATTATCATTTGTATACCGAAAGTTGTGAGCAAAATAGTGAACATGTGTCATATTTGTGAACTGTTCTGCCTTGCCTGCTACTTAACTTGCCTTTCAAGGCCTTGAGAACCGCAGCAAAGCCTTAGCTTGGTGGACTAGGATCGATAATAGCCTGATTACGCACCAATGGTTCGGGACTCGACATAACTTGGTCAACTATACCTGTTATCACACCAAAAACAGACCGAAACCCGTGAAGCACGTAATATGAAGGAAGCGAGTGTAACAAGGCAATAAACAACCAAACGGGCCTAAATACATCCAAAATCACCCGTTTATATGCCTTAAAGCGCGCCCTAATGTGCGCTTGTCAAAATCCCCCAAGCTACACTTTTGCTAGTCCTCGAGCAAAACTAAGGGATACACACACACACATGATCAAATAAACTATTGCCATTACATATAAATCCAATTTAGCACGGAATGAAGTCAATGGATCCTACTTAGAACAACCATGCACGGAATGAAAACTCACTCAAACAAGCAACGAGACACACAATCCAAGGTATCGTTGATCAAAATGCAAACAAAACCTAAACCAAGCATAGAGAACAAAGAAGTCATGCTTCCCTCTAAACCCAACCAAACCGGCCATGTCCTCCCCTTTTGCTTCAAATCACCACCCTAATTGGCCCCTCATGATTCCTCGAAGGAACCGGAAAAAGTGATATTTTGAGGAAATAACAAAGGTATCCCGACATCTCGATTACGCATAATCTTTCCATAGGGTTGAAAGGTATCTCCCTCCACCGTTTGAGAACCGAACACCTCTAAATTCTAAGGGTCTTAAAGGGTTGTAATGTATTGGCAATGGGTAAGGTAGGTAAAAACAATTTAAAAAATGGGGTTAATTCCTAAATGAAGCGCAAGAATCACAATTCTCAAAAACAATAGTTCAAAAGATGCAATTCACATTCCACAATAAACATTGATCACACTTTTACACATCCCAAACTCTCTATGTTATACACACTCAAATCACCTTTTTCAAACTTCAAAGCTTTTATTCATATGTCCTCGCCTTTTTCACAATTCGGACGGCTTTTCTCCTTTTTTTTTGTTTTTGATTTTCTTTTCTTTTTTTTTTCTTTTTTTTTTCAAAAACAAATTTTCATATTACATCTTTACAATTAAGCTCACTTTCAAACTTGCTCAAACCAACTATCGATCATTATTCTTGATTTATACACAATAAGCTCAAACAAACCTTGCGAGGTAAACGCTTCACAACTAAGGGTTGGTAAAACATCGGCCATCGGGTTTGTAACATGGGTAACCAAGAATGGAATTAAAGGCTCAACATGGTTAGCAAGTAAGATGATGTAAAAAGAAAATTAATTTGTAACAAAACAAAAGGAATAAGAATAAGAAAAATGAAAAAGGTGCCCTCTTCCTCCCTTAAAAGTGTCAAGTCGGTCTTAGGAGCTACAAGTCAACACAAAGATCGAAACATGCGTAATCAAGGATCCAAATATGCCACTCAAGAAGAATGATGAAGGCTAGAGCAATAAAACCTCACGGGATTCAAAAACAAAGCAACTACCAATTAAGGGGATCAAATCCACAAATGGGAAGCGACTCCATCTTACCACAGCCCAAAGGCATAGAGTTTCACATGACAAAAGTGTTCTAACCAACTACCTTCGCCTAGACTCGTCTACATTGATCAACAATAGACTCAAACTGTGTATTCATCACTGGCTTAAGTAGAAATAGATATTCCACACACATTCATTCACGTTTCGAATCCAAATATGAGCATTATTCCAAAAGTTTATGCAATTAGACAAGTTTATCACGATCCAAAAATATAGGAAAAGACTATGAGGCAAATCATATAAACTAGACTACACATTCTCATAACAGAAGCTTTTCCTATATTGCACACAAAAACAAAAAAAAAACTAAAGGAAAAAGGGAAAGATTTCACCAAATGCTTCTTGAAAACACACTAAGACAACATGAGATGCGGCGAAGCTCCTAATGCTACCTCCATGAGTCTTCATATCTGCACAGGTTAGATAGAAACAAACCAAAAAGAAACCAAAAGAAACTCGTTTTTTTTTTTTTTTTATAGGAATATGAAGAAAAACAAGGGAAAATCAACAAGGAAACCATTCACCCCCCCAAGCTAGTATAGACATTGTCCTCAATGTCAGGCATCGAGAGACTACCTAGAAGGCAAAAAGGGAAAGAGAAAAGTACCTCATTGACTGTGTCTCGGGTTGCCTCCCGGAAGCGCTTCTTTAACGTCATTAGCTTGACGCAACACATGGATTACAGGTTACCCATAATCAATACTTGCCATTGCAGTGGAGATAAGCTCACCATTCTTATTCTTGACAATAGTCACCGCCCCTTTCTTAGGTACTACAAACACAGGGTAAACCCTTCCTTGATGTGTTGGAAGGGGTTTAAGCTTTAACTTTGGTGCTTCATTAGCCTCCTTTGCAGTGGCCACATCTAATGCATCTAGAAATTGCTCCTCCATGTCCCTGTTTTCCTTGTTCTCATTCAACTCAAAATCATGATTAGTATAGAATAATTCGTTACGCATATCAGAGACAATGGAATCAACAGTGTCAACCATCATGCAATTATCAGAATTAGAACAAGGATATTTCATAGTTTTATTTAAATCAAAATCTAAAACCTCCTTTCCTACTTTCAATGAAATCTTGGCAACCT